ATATCAGTTAACCTTGACTAATGTGTTCAAATGATTGTAATTAGAGTGGGTACTAAAAACATAGGAACCATAGTGTATTTATACTCATTCCTAGTTGGCCCTGAGAAGGTGGTGATCAGCTGTCTTCCTGAATGGCTGAAGTCCTTTTGGTACAGATAAACCCATAATGCTGGTAGGGAGAGAGGTCCAGGATTTGGACCCAGTGCCATTGAAGGACAGCAATATGTATCCAAGTCAGGATGGTGAGTGACTTGAAGGAGAACTTGCAATTAGTGGTCTTCCTACCCATCTGATTCCCTTCTCCTTCTAGATAGTACTGGTAACAGGTTTGGATGATGCTCTTTAAGGAGCCTCAGTGAGTTGTTGCAACTTATAAATGGTACACACTGCTGCTGCTGAGCTTTGGTGGTAGAGGGAGTGAATGTTTATGGATGTGGTGCCAGTCAAGCAGGATGAAGTCAAGCTTTATCCTGCATGATGTCAAGCTTCTTGGGTGTTATTAGAGCTGCACTCATCCAGACAAGTGTGAGTATTGCATCCAACTCTTATCCCTTGTGCTTTGCATATGGTGGACTGGCGTCAGGAAGGCAGAAGGTGAGTTATTCACTGCAGGATTCTGAGCCTCTGACCTGCTGTTGTAGTTACTGTATTTATTTGCCTAGTTCAGTTCAGTTGATGGTCAATGATAGCCAGAAGGATATTGATAACTGAGATTCAATGATGACAAAGTCATTGAATGTCGAGGTATACTCATTGGATTCTCCTGCGTTAGAGATGGATATTGCCTGGCACTTCTGTGTAATGAATGTTACCTGCCATTTGTCAGCCCAAACCTGTAAATTATCAAGGTATTGCCTGATGATGAAAAGGAACCTTAATGTTTCTATTAAGTTTTATTTTGGAAATATTTAAGAATTAGAGAGAGTAAAAATTTGGGCAGTTCAGAGTTTTCTCATTCCTAATACATCTTGTGTAATTCATTCACTTTCATGATATAGGCAATGAAGGCATGCCAATAAGCCTATCAGAATGAAACAGAGGAGATGTATTGATGAAAGTCACTGGTCCATAAGAGTTTAGCTGTATCCACCTGTGACACATTGCAAATGATCAAAATAACTATCAGGTCCTGAAGTCCAGGATTATCAAAAAAATCCACTTCACATTCAGGTATTTTCCTGTTTTGGTTTATTGGAGAGAAACCTGCAGACTACATTGTTTAGAAAGTCCACCGGAACAAAGAACATTCAAGCAGCTGATTGGCAGCTAGCAGGATTTCTCCTGGAATTATGCTGCTGGACTAGGAAATCCCACCTGCTTGGAACTGACAGCTGGTCAAAGACTAACATTCCCAGAATTTGCCATGGTCTTGGCTGCTGATGGGATGCCGCTACCCCGAACCCCAAGTGGAGGATCAGAGCCAAGAAGTGTTACTGTTGTTTGCAGAAAGGAGGTGGTTCTCAATTGGTGGTCATATTGGGGGAGGGGGGGATAGCGGGTTCTCAGAAACCACACCCTCGTCCTCGGTTGAGTCCCTTGGTGTTGCACAGTGCAGACTGAGAGATCCTGCTACATACTGAGAGACTACGCACATTAATTTATCAGTTGGAAAAGGTGGCTCTTTCTTGTACAACCTGGAGGTGCTGAGATGTGATTAGACCTGAAAATGTTCATTAATTGACCACATACGCACTTTAATTGCTCGCAGTTCAGTGAAGTTGGCAATGGACCTTCCACCCAGAGCTCCATTTCTGAGTCAAGTTGCAGGGGTCTTTTTTGCCCTTCCCACCACCTATTTCTTCGTCAAGTGTGATAATCCCAGCCCAATACTTAGCTCCTATGGGCATCGGCGGCTGCATTGAATGCAAACACTGTTAGGGTCTGATTTTAACCGGGTGAAAATGAAATAGTTTTGACTGTATTAACATCACACCTCTGGAGGATCACTATGTTTTACAATTGTTATTTGGACCACAGTTCTAAATATGAATTTGATCAACAGTAATATTAGTATCTGTATAAAAAGTGGAGAGCCCAAGAATTGCTTGGAGTAGGATTAGTGTATATCGTGCATCTGAATTAATTGTATCTGTTTGATGCCTGCATCCTGAAATGGAAATGTGAGCTGGGTGTCGGAGGATAGGTTTGGTAATTGGATGCACTGATATACAAGCACTATCTTGGCATTATTTCTTGAAGATTAAATTGTAACTGTGTGTGGCAATAAGAACTAGATATTCAGCTGAGTGTGAACAGATGGCAATGAAGCAGAATTAGAACAATTTCTCTGCAAGTGCTCCTTAAAGTCTTCCCACTAATTTATGATATACTGCCTTTCATTTAATTACAAAGAAAAAAAAACATGGTTTGGGCTTTTTGAGTCATGGTCTATAGACCTGAATCTTCCCTTGTTTTTTCTCCTTTCTTTTATCTTTCATGCCATACTGGTCCTTGCGTGCAATTTCACATCTCCAGCCTCTGTCATCTCTGCTTTGTAATTAAAAAAAGTCATGGAGTGGTGTTCATGAAATTTTCTGATGGTGTTGCCCCCTCAGGAAGCCTGGCAGAGCTTAAGACCCCGTGTATTAGAGAGCCGTGATTACCTGGCCTGGTGGTGCCCCTGGAAGGGTATTTGACCCATGAATTGAGGCCTTGAGGGGAGAGAAACAGAACAGCATAATAATAAGTCAAATATCTGACTCTGGGCATCCTCATTGTCTGTTCCACTCACTGCTTCTCCCACTTTGCCAACAATGCAAAAACCATCATTTTCCAGCCCTCTTTATTTCTGGCAAAGAGTCATTGCACTTGAAACGTTAACTCAATTTCTCCAGTACTTTCTGTTTTCATTACACTTAATACACCATTTAAACAAAAGTGATTCCCAGAATGAATAGATTTACAGATTAATATTAATATTTATGAACATATACGGGAAATATAATGTAAATTTGCTAGCCTCCCCCATACTGGGTTTGGTGGGTGGTGGAGCTGTTAATGTGGTGAGAGAGCATTCAAGATGCTTCCATCTTCATGCCTCCACCCTGATTAAAGCCTGTGAAGGGATTTCCTGCCTCACTGCCAATTGGGATGCTGAAGCAGGCAATTAAATTAAAAAAAATACAAAACTTGAAGAATGTATTCTGCTTCCACGGCTTACAAACAACAATGGTCAGGGGCCTTGCTGTGTGTGAAGCCTGAGACAGGGCTGTTTGTAGGTTTCTGGTGGTCCCTTGTGCAAAGGCACTTAGTACCTGATCAAGGGACCTGTGCCAGCATAGGGCACAACTGGCTGTCCAGCCAATGGGCAAGACCCCCATCATGCCCAATAAATGTTGTGCCACAGCCTATCTCAAATCTGCATCTTCTCTTTGTATTATTGATAATGTATGTTGGTGAATGCAGTGGATCACCATCCATGAAAACCAGTGGCCCAAGAGTTGTAGGAAAATGTTCACAGAAACTGAACAATCTTTATCTGAATCCACTGTAAATGGGACAAAGGTATTGGGTGATGATAAAGGTCTCATCGATTATTCCGCATTTAAATCTTGTGACTTTTAATGAACTTACCAATTGAGTTTGAGTTTGTTAATTGAAATTGAACATTCAAGCGAGTTAATTGTTGTTGTGGTTAAGTGAACCTATTTTTCTGCAGAGAATTTATTTACTTCTATTTTGCATTTGAAAGTTCTTAGTATTTATGGCATAACTAAGTGTTTGTCTCTTGTTTTACATTTGGCACAAATAGATACATTGTCCTTGAGTTCCATTTATTTACAGTTTGTGCATTGCCATATTTTACTTTATATGTGATTCTACATTTTTTAAATTATTCCCATTCATTCAACACCTCTTTTCCTTCCTTTCCTTCTACCTGGTACCCTGGACCTATCTGCCTATGTAGCTTTTGATTTAGATGCCAGTGGCTTAGATGCAGAAGACAATGACTCCCCAGCAAATCACCGCTCCCCTATAGCCAGTGTAAACAGTCTAACGTCTCCCCAGTCTAAAGAGAAAAGAATGCCCTTTTTTAAGAAGGTAACCATACTTCCTAAACTGCAGTCTGTCGCACGTGCTAGCCAGCAGTATGTCACTGAAGAAGTCTTGTATTTGTTTGTGTCCTGTGAAAAGTCAATAACATGCATGCTCTGTTATTCTTGTTTTTCTCTTCAATGCTTCTATAGCCAAACAGAAGCAGAAATCGGTAAGTCTATATTGTTACATGTTGGTCCTGCCCATTGCATAATTAGCATTGAAATCCTCAACACGATAAGCATGGAAAAGTTTTTTTTTACGAATGAGTGAATGATTGCCTTTCATGACGTAAATTTGTAGAAATTCAGATTTGATTAGTTCTAAAGCATGCTGAAGGAACTCCTCACAGAGCTAAATATATGCATAAGCATTCAAGAAATCTTGCTAATTATGCCATTGGGACATTGCTTGCTACATAGCATCTGGACACCAGGACTATCAGTATTGTGTTAGCTTGTTCAGTACTTTGTGTAAACTTTGATTAGTACTGGGGGGGAAGAGAAAAAGAATTTTTTTATATTGGCTGTTGTCACTGTACTTTGGCTTTTTTGTATGTTAAGTTATGTTGTAATGATGCTTTGTGTTGTTGCTTTGCTGTTTGGCTTGTTGTTTTCTGATGTGATGGGAGAATGGAGTTGTTTTTTTCTTGTTGGTCATATGGATATTTTTGTAACTTTTGAAATAAATGTATCACAAAATAAGTGAGTGTGGATGAAATTAGAAACAAACTGAAGAGATGAAATGTGTAGCCCCGCATGGAAAGTCTTATTGGCATCCAGAAAGAAAGTAGATATTTGAATGTTTTGGACAAAGTTCATTTAAGTGATATTGTATCATTTTATTAAAAGTTGTTTGTTTAATTACGCTACCTGTCGTCATAATAGACACCTGGTTTTTACATATGGTAATGAATATTTGCTGATAAAATTGACTGGCTGTATTTGAAACCATCAAACAGAAATGTGTTATTGCATTCCTTGCACATTAAGTAATAGTAAGTTTATTTCTAATTGAATCAGGATTGCAAAACAAAAATTCCTGAAAATACAGCTGCTATTTTGTTTGAGCTAATTAATGTTACACGATGATCTTTTCAGTTTGAAAATCTGTGACATGTTCAATGAATTCTCTATACTTATCATTATAACAATATTGAGGTACTAATATAGCTCCATTAGTCATTTTGCCCAAATTTATGGTCATGACAGGCACTGCAGACTAATTAATAATGCTAGACTTCCTTCTTATTTAAAAGAAATGAATTATTGTATCTATGAGTTAGCAGATTACAGGTGTTTTTGCCTCAATAAATTTACCTCAATGTACTGTTAACCCAAATTTATACAATACCATTCTCTACAGAAATTATAAGAGGGGGACAATAACGTCATTGTTGAAGTATTAAATTAATCTAGAAAGAAAATTCTTACTAGCAGTTGAGAAAGATCATTTACTAATTAAGGAAGTACTCACTCCTTTTTTTTATACTTTCCACTATAAAGGTGTTTGCAGTTTTGTGTACTACATGTGTTGTTGGGCATTAAAGAAAACAGCTTGCATCATGCCAGAACTTGTGACACATATGCAACAAAAATAAACTCAACACCTCCACTGCAGACATCTGAAGTTTGTGGGGAAGGAAACAAGACTGTAGGACCATTTGTTTTCTTTACTCATAGGATGTGGGTGTTTCTGGCTGGGCCAGCAGTTATTGCCCTTCCCTAATTGCCCAGTAGAAGGTGGTGGTGAGCTACTGCCTTGAACCATTGCAGCCATTAGGGTATAGGTAAATGCATAGTGCTACTGGCAGTGGAGTTCCAGGATTTTGACCGAGTGCAATTGAAGTAACAGTGATATGGTTCCAAGTCTGGATGGTGTGTGAGTCAGAGGAGAACTTGCAGCTAATACAGTTCCCATGCATCTGCTGCCCACCAGGAAAGTAGCTGGAAAGGGGACATAAGTAGGCATCAAAGAAATGTAGATAGATCGAATGAGTGAACAAAAATCTGCCACTTGGAGTATGATATAGGAAAATGTCAAATTTTGGTAAGATGAAAAAAAAGAATTGTCTAAATGGTGAGAGATTGCAGAGCTCTGAAATGCCGAGGGGATCTGGGTGTTCTAGTACATGAATTGCAAAAGACTACTATGCAAATAACAAGTAATCAGGAAAGCTTATGGTATGTTGCTTATTGCAAGGGAATTGAATACAAAAGTAGGGAGGATAGGTTTCAGTATTACAGGGCACATCTCGAGTACTGCTAAATATTTTTCTCCCTATTTAGGAAGGATGTAAATACATTGCAAGCAGTTTAGAGAAGAGTTACTCAACAAAATCCTGGAATTGGTAGGTTGTCTTACGAGGAAATGTTATATAGACCATGTTTGTATCAGCTAGCATATAGAAGAATAGGGTGCACCTTATTTGATTAAAGCATGTGAGTTTTCCCAGGGGTCTTCACAGTGTGGGTCTGAAAAGGATGTTGCCTGTTGTGGGAGAAACTAGAAATCAGGATCATTGTTTTAAAAAAGGCCCGTACATTTAACAGGAATGTTTTTTTTTTAACATGTGGCTCCCTGAAGAGGAAACAGAAGCTGAGTCTTTGAATATTTTTGAGGCAGTGTTAGATTCTTGACAAGTAAGGGGAAAGCACGGGTAGTGAGAGGTTATTGGTGTTAAGCATGAATGTGGAGTAATCAAAACAACCATGAACTGACTGAATGGCGGAATGAGCTTGAAGGGTCAGTTGATCCATTCCCAAGCTTAGGAATTCATAAATCTATTCCTGTTCCGAGAGCCTAATTTGTATGTTTGTATCACAATCCCTGGGTATGTCCAGTTCCACTGGCAGGATAGACCTACTAGATTTGGTAACAGAGACATATATTTAGGTGGGAGTTGACCTGAAAGCCCTCAACATTAAGTTCAGATATTAAGACAAACACAGATGAGGATAGAGGGGAAAACTAGAAAGGTAAATCAGTAATCTTTGTCCACAAATTCTTTTGAGTTGATTCTTGTTGGTCCGAAAGTTTCTCCCTGGCTTCCATTTTCTGAATGCTCCCACTTGTTTGCAATAGGCACAGGGTGACTGGTTCCCTCGTAAAATATCTCTGATTTTTTCACTTCAGGTTCACAGCTTACAGCAATTCTGAAGGAAGGAATAACTGGTTTTCTTCAGGCTTAAAGTGAGTTTTGACTGCAGAGACAGCGGAGACTGCTTCTAAGCTGGTGGAGATCAAAACCTTTTTCTGCAACTTGTTTCCAGCCTCAAGCAGTTTAGTTACCTGACAAGTAATCAGTTGGTCGTTGGCAAGCAAATGTCCCTTGTCATCTCTAACTGGCCACTAGTCCATAGATCAATAAACGTCTCGTTGCCAAACAGAGCTGCATCTGAATACAGAAACACCTTGGCTCCTCTTACTGCAAACAGTTCTTAAACAGCTTTTTACAATGCTTGCCATGAGTGTTAAGCTGCTGGTTTTCAAATAATAGTCATCCTTTTAAAACACTGGTTTTAAAATAGTTCTTTCCCATTTCAGTACGTAATTTTAAAAAAAGTACAACATGAGAAAAGCATTGTTGCTCCTGAAATTTGAACACCACGTGGAAGAAGCCCTGAGGGTAACGAGGGCATAGAGGGGCATACTGTTAACTCTTCCATGTTCATCACCAAGATTAGCTCGGTTACAAATAGTGCATGAATATGGTTGTTTCATTTTGTTGTTTGTTGGGAAGAAGGGAATAGAACGTTAAAGAAGGTAAATGGTATGTTGGCATTCATTGCGAGAGGTTTCGAGTACAGGAGCAGCGATGTGTTGTTGCAGGCCACACCTGGAATATTGTGTGCAGTTTTGGTCTCCTTTTCTGAGGAAGGATGCTCTTACTCTCGAGGGAGTGCAGCGAAGGTTTACCAGGCTGGTTCCGGGGATGGTGGATCTGATGTCTGAGGAGAGATTGACTAGGTTGGGATTGTTTTCACTAGAATTCAGACAAATGAGGGGGGTCTCATAGAGACTTGTAAAATTCTAACAGGACTGGACGGGGTAGATGCAGGGAGGATGTTCCTGGTGGTGGGTGTGTCCAGAATCAGGGGTCACAGTATGAGGATTCAGGGTAGATGAGGAGACACTTCTTCACCCAAAGAGTGGTGAGCCTGTGGAATCCATTATCACAGGAAGTAGTTGATGGCAAAACATTGAATGTATTCGAGAAGCAACTTGATAGAGCACTTGGGGTGAATGGGATCAAAGGTTATGGAGAGAAAGCAGGATTAGGTTATTGGGTTGGATGGTCAGCCATGATCGTGAAGAATGGCGGAGCAGGCTTGAAGAGCCGAATGGTCACCTCCTGCTCCTATCTTCTGTGTTTCTATGTTCAATCAAATTATATGAGAAATAATTGAGCACATGTAATGCATTTTCAACAGATACAGCATTATTCAGGTTTTCAAGAAATTTAGAAGTCTGCAGTTTTGTTCTAGATTTGAAAGGGCTGAATTTTAATGGAAAAAATATAGAACAGAGATTCTGTGATCCTGTCTATATTATATTCGTACATTGCCAAATTAACAACAGTGTTCAAAATTTAGCAGTTCATTGTGACTCTGAGTCTGCAAAGCTCTGTGTTAATAAATTGTTAAATATTTACTTAGTCAGAATGTGTCTTTACCAACCTCAGGGACCAAACACACACAATCCTTGTTTACTTCACAAGTTGTTGCTTTTTAATGATTGGTGAACACTTGAAATTGTACAGTAGATTTTGCTGTACTTGTTCCACATACCAGGCTTCATAGCACAAGTGTCTTGTCTGCCAACCATTAATATGGCGACCATCACTGTGCACAGGTGCTGGCACAATGCATCGGTCATCCAAACAATTCATTTCTTAGCACAATATTACATCAGGAAGACTTGACTATTTTTAAGTTGCGGTTCAACATAACAATGGAAGGTAAAATTGCAGTGAAATATATAAACTTTCATTTTTATAGATTGGCAAAAAATGTGTTTTCAGTTATGCTTTTAGTTGGTTAGTTACTTTAGGCATTTTCTTGGTATGCTGGTACTTAGGATTGGGGTCCATTTTGCATTTAGCACTGAGCAAATGGAACAATCCATCAGAAACTATTGACTCATTCAGTGATCTTAGCACAATGTCTAAGGAGTATCACATAATCACAGTACAGGAGGCAGCAGTTTGGCTCATTCTGTTTGTGCCTGCTCTCCAAATGAGTATCTTACCTTATGTCATTTTCCAGCCTTCTCCCCATTATCCCACATATTCTCCTTTTGTAAGTAACCATCTAGTTCTGTTTATGAAGGTATGACTTTTATTCTGACAACAATTTCATATAGCAATAAATTTGGTGCATTTTATGAATATCTGTTACTTACAAAAAATGGTGTTGAAATGGTGCAAATTACAAACTTGTGTCCATGATATTCTAAGATTATGTTTTCTTCAAACAGACTGAACACATCCCTCCTTATGATGTAGTGCCTTCTATGCGACCAGTAGTTTTAGTGGGGCCTTCTCTGAAAGGATATGAGGTAAGTAAGCCAAGAATAGATCACAAACAGCTTTATTGGGCTTCTGTGATATACTCTAGATTTTACAGACAGTTCTTTTAAATATTCTAGAAGAGAGGCCATAACATTGCCCCTTGAGAGCAGCATGCCAGTACATCCGTGATCTCATTGAATGGCGGAACAGGCTCAAGGGGCTGAATGGCCTACTCTTTCTATGTCCCTATGTGGTTTGGGATACTGGAGAAGCTGTATTTGTACATTTTTAGAAGAAAACATGAGTGCTCCACTACTAGAGAGCATTGCAGGTTTGGCAGTATTTTGATCCGGTTAGTTACATGTTGCTATAGGCAATACCAGTTATTATATCTGTAGTATTAACAGCACTTTTTTTTAACAAGTGGGATAACTGCATTTGGGATTTATGTGCACTATTATGGTTGCAATGTGAAATATGGGTCCAAATGTAGAAATTAAAATAACTTTTGTATGTGCACTGTGTATTTCATTTGGTTTCTGTTTCTGTAAAAGTAACCTTGAGTTACCTTGATTTTTTATAACGCAATGATTGCTTAAGCAGTTTCAAAACCTTCTTGATAGTTTACTGGAATATAGGTATTTCAACGTTTTGTGTGGTTTGATCTGTAAAATGCATCGATCATGTTTCCAAATAAAGCTCTTATCTTGCCTAATAAAAACCAAAAGAACTGCGGATGCTGTAAATCAGGAACAAAAACAAAGTTGCTGGAAAAGCTCAGCAGGCCTGGCAGCATCAGTGGAGGAGAAAACAGAGAACAGTTCTGAGGAAGGGGCACCGGACCCGAAACGTTAACTCTGTTTTCGCTTCCACAGATACTGCCAGACCTGCTGAGCTTTTCCAGCAACTTTGTTTTTGCTCTTGTCTTGCCTCATGTTTGTTGTCTGCCTTCAGTTGAAATTTTTGTGGCCATCTTGCAATCTGTGAAAGTATAAAAGTCAATATTTCCTGCAGTTCAGTAAAAACTAAAATGGTTTTTTCAAAGTAAAACAGTATTTTGAGTAGCAAATCTAAAATGAATATTTGCAATGATAGGGTGGGAGTCCTGGTGCAAGTTTGGAACACATAAAAGCAAATTTCAAAATGGAACTAAATGGGTTAGTTGGAGCAATGGTAAATCTGATCATTATTAATTTCAGCATTTTGAATTTTGACAGAGCAAACCTAATCCATATGGTGGTGACATGAAAGTGCTGAGTTTGGAGCATGCTAGTGTGATAGCAGATAGTAACAGAGGGAGCTGAACTTGAAATTAAATATTTGAAGTAATAGAGACAGAATGGAAAATATTACAGAAAAATTTTATGAATATTTTATGGAGTTTGCATTTGAGAGATACTGGGAACGATTTAAGAAACTGTTTTGGTCTGTATTCTGTGTTCTTCCAGACTTCACACTAAACTGGAACCAGAAAATGTAGGTGTCCTACACCAAATAAAATATTATGAAAATTCAGTGGTAAATAATACATCAAAACACGTGCAATTTTCTTCCAAGCATTTTATTGTCAAAGGTAAATCAAACTTTAACTTTATGAAATCCTTCCTTTAGGTGACAGACATGATGCAAAAAGCATTGTTTGACTTTCTGAAACACAGATTTGAAGGAAGGTACGTACAGTTCTGTAAGCTTCCAGGGAAGTGGTGAGTGAAGTGGGAGGTGCAATGTGTAGACTGAATTTTCAGTGCTCTAACACCATCCATTAATACTTTAAATTAGAAGGAATGAGTCCAAAATCTGACACTCCTGCAGGGAGTGGCATCACAGGAGCTGCATTAATTTAGTTGATCAGATAATCAGGTGATGGACACCCTGTGGTTTCCTAAAGCACACCCCCTCTCACTGGATTGTAGACTTATTCTTTTGAAATTCGTATTTGACAATCACAGTCAAAAGGATTTTGTATTTGGTACCTTAAGTATGGTGGGAATGTATTTCGGAAAACGGGTGAAGATATGGTTCTTGTTCTTAGGTTATGTTGTGGTTATTCATGAAATAATTTGCATTTGACACCACAGATGCTTCCTTTGCTGACTAAATGTTTGTCACTAAATTATAGAAGGATATGTAGTTTGATTGCTATTTCATAGTCTTGGATAAATCTTAATTCTCGTCTTCGTCCTCTGAGTCATTCAGTTAACTTTTTCTCAGTAACTCAAAGCTGGGAAGTTGAAAACATTCAATGTCACTGAGCTGAGTCAGCTTTCTCCTCATGTGCTGTCAATCTAATTCATTTGCATGATGTAACTCAATCAGTAAACTTATGTGATTTCACCACTGTGTCTAATTTTTTAACATGGGCAACATTCATGGAGATATTCATAAATACTTACAAGGCATTCAGAAATTATTTTTATGCAGTTATTTGTTTCAATTTGCTTCTCCCTTTCTGCCTCTGTTAAAGGTTTTTATTCTTGCAAGTAGAATTCTGATCTCTAGAAGTCCTCCTTTATCTCGTTTATATGTATTATTCATATTTGATCCGAGCTGGTGACTGAGGCCAGATTGTTCCGAACAGGCTGGTTGCTGAGATCACTAGCCATGCACAAATGATGTGCACTTCAGGGTTTGCAGTAACAGGAACTCTAGCTGATTTCACTGTGGAGGGCAAAGAGGTTGCCAAAAGGCATCATCTATGTGTCCACCAAAATAGATTCTTGTCTGCATTACCAGATGGTATGTGCTGCCTGTGAAACAAAACCCAGTATTATACATCATTTGGAAAGGAGGGAAGAAAATGGTAGGATCTTAGGAAAGGATAAGTGAAGGATTGCTATTTAGAGTCATAGAACTGTACAGCATGAAAACAGGCACTTCGGTCCAACACACCCATGCAAGATATCTTATATTAATCTAGTCCCATTTGGCCCTCTAAACTCTTCCCATTCATGTACCCATCCAGATGCCTTTTAAATGATGTAACTGTTGTAACTGCACTAGTCTCCACTTCCTCTAGCAGCTAATTCCATGCACACACCACCCTTTGCCTGAACAAATTTGCCCTTTAGGTCCCTTTCCACTCTCATCTTAAACCTATGCCCTCTAGTTTTGGACTCCACTACCCTGGGGAAAAGACCTTGGCTATTCACCCTATCCATGCCCCTCATGATTTTATAAACCTCTGTAAGGTCACCCCTCAGCCGCTGACGCTCCAGGGAAAATAGCCCCAGCCTATTCAGCCTCTCCCTATGACTCAGACCCTCCAACCCTGGCAACATCCTTGTAAATCTTTTCGGAAACCTTTCAAGTTTCAAAACATCCTTCCTATAGCAGGGAGACCAGAATTGCATGCAATACTCCAAAAGTGACCTAACCAATGTCCTGTACAGCCACAACATGACCTCCCAACTCCTATACTCAATGCGCTGACCAATAAAGGCAAGCATACCAAATGCCTTCTTCACTAGCTTGTCTACTTGTGACTCCACCTTGAAGGAACTATGAACCTGCACTCCAAGATCTCTTTGTTTAGCAACACTCCCCAGAGTCTTACCATTAAGTGTATAAGTCCTGCTCTTGTGACTATTGACTATAAATATCTTAGTAAGGGGCCCAGCAATCACTTCCCTAGCTTCCCGCAAAGTTCTGGGATACACCTGATCAGGTCCCAGGGATTTATGCACCTTTATGCATTTTTAGACATTCAACACCACCTCTTCTGTAACATGGGCACTTTTCAAGATGCTGCTATTTGACTTGGAGTTGAAGTTTGTTCAGACAAATTCAAGTATGACTGAAAGCTTTTGAGCATACATTCTGATTTTTAAAATATCAGCAAATTTTCACATGGCTCAATCTAGCCAGATTTTTTATTTTGACGTAACATAAAATTTACAGTTAGGAAATTAATGAATAATTAATTTTTTAGGATATCATAAACTGTAATTTAATTCAGAAGAAAGGAATACAGGTTTAGGATCAGGTATAGGCCATTCAGCCCTCCAAACCTGCTTCACTGTTTGACAAGATCATGGCTGATCTGATTGTGAACTCAAATCATTTTCTTGTCTGCTGAATATAAACCTGACTCCTTGTCTATGGTAAATCCATCTAACGCGGCCTTTAAATAAATTCAATGATTCAGCCTCCACTGACTAGTGGGGAAGAAAATCTACATATCTCTGTCTTAAAAGGGAGACCTTTTATTCTTAATTTGTGTGCCTTAATATTTGTCTCCCTATAAGAGGAAAATCCTTCATATCCACACTATCTGATTCACAATTTATGGAGGTGCTGACCTAGTTGTATTATACTAGACTGCTAATCCACACACCCATGTAAAATCTTGGGAACATGGGTTCAAAGCCTGACATGCCAAGTGATGGAATTTAAATTCATTTTAAAAATCTGTAATTAGGTATCTAATGATGACCATGAAACCATTGGTGACTGTGGCAAAAAAAACCTCATTTGGTTCATTAATGCCCTTTTAGGGAAGGAAACCAACATCCTTACTTGGTCTAGTCTGCATGTGATTCCAGATCTATAGCAGTGTGGTTGATTTTTAACTGCCCTGTGGACAGTTAGGGATGGGAAATAAATGCTGGCCTAGCCAGAAATCCCCATGTTGATTCATTCAGGAATGAATTTTAAAACGAAATACCACAGTTACATCTTTTCACAAATAAGGAGATCAAAGTTGCACTTGGTACTGCAGATATAATCTCGCTAAAGCACAGTACAGCTACGATAAAATGTCTTTACTTTAATATTTGATTTTCCTTGCAAAAACATTAACATTCTGTTTGCCTTCCTAATCTCTAGTAATACGTGCACTCTAATTTCTTGTGCTTAATATACCAGGCTACCTAGAACCCTCTATACTACTGAGTTCTTTTCCCATTGAAATAATATACTTTTTTTTGGTTACTTACGGTGTAAAGAGAAAAAAAATTCATATTTTCGCACATTAAACTCCGTCTACCAAATCATTGTCCACTCTCTTAACCTGTGTATTTCTTTCTGTAGACTCCGTATCTCCTCTCACAACTTACTTTGCTACCTATCTTGATGTCTTTGGCAAATTTAGCTACCATACATTTGGTTCATTCATCCAAGTCATGTAGATTGTAATTAGCTGAGGCTCCAATATTGACCCCTATGTTACTCTACTACTTTACTAACCCATAAAAGATTAATTTATCCATATTCTCTGCTTCCTGTTAGCTAACCAATCTTTTATCCATGCTGATACATTATCACTCACATAATGTGCTATGTGGTAATGCGGAAGTTACACTTCTGCTTAATAGAATCTTTCAATTGTAACTATTGAAATAACAAACTCAGTTGTAACCATTAAAATAACAAACTTTTCCTTTGTTACTCTTTTTCTGTTTATTTATAGGATATCAATCACACGGGTCACAGCTGATATCTCCCTTGCCAAACGCTCAGTGTTAAATAATCCCAGTAAACACGCAATAATTGAACGCTCTAACACCAGATCCAGTTTGGGTAAGTATACTAATCTTGGTGCAAAATGTGTCATAATAGTTGTTTTATTTCATCCTGGTGCAAAATAGGGAGACTAGATTAATTTAGTCCATGTCTACTGGATAAGTTTAAAATTATAATCTGAGTTTGTGTTTGCTACTTGAATGTCCAAAAATTATCGAGTATGTGTTTTCAAAACTAAAGTTTGTTTGTTACTATGGATTCAATTCCTGCTTGCCAAGAAAAAGTAGTTATTCTAAAACCTGCTTTCCTGATATGACTGGGAAACGTTAATGATAACTGTAAACCGCAAGGCTTTAAATACCTTCAATTGTAATGGAAAATTTTAAGGAATTGTTTCTTGTTGTCACTACTTTTATTTATTCTTTTCCAAAAACTTTCTTACGGTCACCAAATTTGTTCTTGTGTAAGGAGTTGGTATTAACCCCTTTCGTAAGCTTCTGCCAGTCATCTTCTAGCAGCTTGGAGTAGAAATCAGAGCCACTTACTAAGCACACCAGTCTCCAGAAGGTGTCTGGCTTCTACTAGTCACTCCTGATATGGCTAATAATTCAGAATTGCACACTTCCCCTTTAGAACCTCGGTACATTGATTGGGGAACACTTCTTCAACTTACTCGAGTTTGGTAATTGGAAATAGCCAGCTAAATTAAGTTATTGGAAAAATTATCCTGAATTCCTGACAACTGCTGTATGCAAGGCTCTGAAAATTATATCGTGAAATTTATCCCATCATGCGTCTTGCATTAAAATGTGCTCCAAATTTGACCTGCATGGATACATTTGGTCTATTTAGCTTTAGTCATTTATGGGATGGAATAATCACGGAAGTGATCAGTATTTATTGCTCATTCTTGACTGCACTTAGAAGGTGAAAGTGAGTTGGCTTTGTGGTTTGCTCGGGCTTTTTTTTTAAAGGACATGAGAGTTAGCCACATTTAAAGATGACATTAGGGCCATAACAACAAGTTGAGCTTTAAAATCTCATATTTTCACGATTACTGTTCCTGATTTTAATTCTTTATTTCAAACGTATTAGTTAGTTATTAGTATTAATTCAGTTAACAAACTGCCATTCATCATTTGTCTCCAGATCGTTACAGAGTTGTAGAGATTTACAGTTAAGAAAAAGGCCCTGAGAGTCTGTCAAAAACAGTTACCTAATTATTCAAATCCCATTTTCTAGGCCTTGTATGCCTTGGCATCACAACTGCATACCTAAACACTTGTTCAATGTTGTGAAGGTTTCTGCCTCTACCAACCTTACAGGCAGTGAGTTCCAGATTCCCACCACCCTCTGAGTTTTTCCTCACATCTCCTGTAAACCGACTGCCCTTATCTTAAGTCAATGTCCCTGGTCGTTGATTCCGCCACCAAGGAGAAAGGTTCCTTCCTGTTTACCCTGCTTCTGCCCCTCATAATTTTACACATCTCATATATGTTCCTCCTCAGTCTTCTCTGCTGCAAGGAAAACAACCCTAATCTGTCCAATCTGTCTTCATAACGAAAACTCTCCAGCACAGGAAACATCCTGGTAAATCTCCTCTGCACACTGTCTGGTGAAATCACATTCCTCCTATAATGCAGATTCCAGAACTGCAAATTAGAAATGTTTAGGATTGATGGGTCCTTGGCAACATGGGCTAGACATTGGCTAAAAGGTAGGAAACAGAGTGTTAATGTAGAATGGTATTTCTCAGACTTGAGACAAGTTGAAAGTGGATCCCAGGGATTGATGTTGGGACCCTTGCGTTTTCCAATTTTTATAAATGATTTGCAGATGGGTATAGAGGGAAATATCTCTAAATTTGCAGATGATACTAAGCTAGGAAGAATAGTGAATTGTGAGGTTAATGCTGAGCAACTTCAGAGGGACATTGTCAAGTTAGACAAATGGGCAGACACCTGGCAGATGAATTTCAATGCAGAAAAATGTAACATAATGCACTTTGTTGTTAAGAAGGCTTATAGGATCCCTGGGTTTATAAATAGAGACATAGAGTATAAAAGCAAGGAGTTGATGCTACACCTCTACAGGTCATTGGTCAGACTATGTCAGTTCTAGGTACCTCTTTTAAAGAAGGATGTTGAAGAGAGTGCAAAGGAGATTTACTGGAATGATACCAGGAATGAGGGATTTTAGATACAAAGTAAGATTAGAGAAGTTGGGCTTATTTTGTTTGGAACAGACAAGATTTAAGAGGTGACCTTGCTGAGGTGTTTAAAGTTATGAACAGTTTTTACAGGGTAAGGAAGGATATTCTGTTTCCACTAGTTGGTATGCAAGTATATATGGGTGATACGGGGCTCATGATTTCAAGATTGCCAGCAAGAAAGCAAGGAGTGAGATGAGCAGAGATTTCTTCACTCAGAGTTGTTATGGTTTGGAATGTGCTGTCTGGGAGACTGGTGGAGGAGTGTTCGATAGGAGGTTTAAAAAGAGAGCTGCATATATATTTGAACATGATGAAGTTAGAGTCATAGATTCACAGTGATGTACAGCACGGAAACTGATCCTTTGGTCCAACTCATCCAAACCGACCAAATATCCTAAATAAATCTAGTCCAATTTGCCAGCATTTGGCCCATATCCCTCTAAACCCTTCCTATTCATATACCCTTCCGGATGCCTTTTAAATGTTGTAATTGTACCAGCCTCCACCACTTCTTTTGGCAACTCATTCCATACATGCACCACCCTCTGCATGAAAAAGTTGCCCCTTAGGTCTCTTTTAAATCTTTCCCCTCTCACCTTAAACCTATGCCCTTTAGTTTTGGACTCCCCTGCCCCATGGAAAAGACCTTGTCTATTTACCCTATCCATGCCCCTCACAATTTTATAAACCTTTTTAAGGTGTCCCCTCAGCCTCCAAACTCCAGGGAAAATAACCCCAGTCTATTCAGCCTCTCTCCGTAGCTCAAATCCTCCAACCCTGGCAGCATCCTTGTAAATCTTTTCTGAACCCTTTCAAGTTTCACAACATCCTTCCTATAGCAGGGAGACCAGAATTCCATGCAGTATTCCAAAAGTGGCCTAACTAATGTTCTGTACAGCCACAACATGTCCTCCCAACTCTTATACTCAATGCACTAACCAATAAAGGCAAGCATACCAAATGTTTTCTTCACTATCCTGTCTACCTGCAACTCCATTGGATACAGAGATAGGCCTGGAGAATGGGACTAGCTGGGTAGCTCTTTCGGAAGCAGCTATTGACACAATGGACTGAATGCCTTCTTCCTGTACTGTAAAATTCTATGATTCAGTTAGCGGAATTTTCTTGTATCCCATGGGCTCTTGCCTTTGCTATCAGTTTCCCATGTGGCACCTTATCAAAAGCCTTGCTGAAATCCATTCTGTCTACAGCAATGCATTACTCTGATCTAGACACCTGTTCACTTTATTGAAAAATTCAATCCAGTTGGTCAGACATGACCTCCCATCAACTAAAGTATGCTGACTATTCTTGCTTAATCCATCTCTCCAAATGCAGATTAAGTCTGTCCCTCAGAATTGCTTTCAATAGCTTTCCCACCTGAGGTGAGACTGACTAGCCTGTAGTTTCCCGGTTTACTCCTTGTTCCCTTCTTGAATAAAGGTACCAAATTGGCTATCCTCCAGTTCTCTGGCACTTTTCCTCTGGCCAGTGTGGAAATGAAAATTATTGCTGGTGTTCCTGTTATTTCATCTGTTGCCTCACACAATAGCTTGGTATACATTTCATCCGGCCCTGGATAATTAGCCTTTTTTAAGCCAGAGCACGCAGAGCCTCCTGTCTGCTAATTTCTTGAAGTATATCTGAGCCCTTCTCCCTGATTTCTTCACCCACCTCATCCAATAGAAAGTATTCATATAGAATCCTACCTATGTCCTCAGGCTGTGTGCACAAATTACCGCTCTGAGTAATTGCCATTACTCACTCATTAAAGGGCTCTCCCCCTTTCCAATTATCCTTTTAAACTTAATGTATTTGTAAAATAACTTGGGATGTTCCTTTATTTTACCTACCATTATTCTTTCATGACCCCTTTTTGCTCCCTAATTTCCTTTTTAAGTTTCCCGTTGCTCAGTCTGTTTTCCTGTAGGGCTTCTGCTATTTTGAGCCCTTGGTATCTGCTCAAAGCCTCCCTTTTTTTCTTTATTCAATCCTGGATATTCCTTGACATCCAGGGTTCACTCGATTTGTTGGTCCTACCCTTTATCTTTATTGGAACATGTACTGTTTCTGTTTTTCCTGGAATGTGTCCCCTGCTCTAATACAGTTTTACCGAAACGATCTGCTTCCAGTCCACTGTCTCCAAATCATACCTAATCTTATTAGACTTGGGCTTCCTCCATTTTAGAACTTGTCCTCTTCCATACAATTTTGAGTCAAACAGAGTTACAATCGCTGCCTGCAAAATGCTCCCCCACAGATGCTTCAATCACTTACATGGTTTCATTGCCTAAAATTAAGTCCAGACAAGTTGAAATCTCCCAGTAGCACTGACCTATTACTTTAAAACTTCCCTCACATTTGCCTATGTATCTACACTTCTATTTCTCTCAGACTGTTAGCAGGCCGATAGTGCACTCCCAGCGATGTGATTGCTCCTTTTTGGTTTCATTTGAAGAGCCTTCTAATATGTAATCCCTCCTTACTGCTGTAATTGATTCCCTGATCAATATTGTGCCCCCCCTCACCCCGCTTTTCCTTTCTTCCCCATCTCGCCTTAAGACTTTATATCCTGGAATATTGACCTGCCAATCCTGCCCCCTCTCTCAAGCATTGTCTCAGTGACAGCAATGACATCATATCCCATGCTTTAATTAGTGCCCTCAACTCATCTGCCTTGTGTGTCAGACACTTGCATTAAAATAAATACCATACAAAGTTGCCAAACTCCCTTGTGCCTTAAATGGTGTGTAATTTCTATGCCTTCTTGACTCACTTGTTGTGTCTTCTAATCGTAACCATTCATCTTTCCCTGCTGAACACTCTGTCTGCATCCCACCCCGTCAGTCCAGGCTTTTGGAGTACTAATCCAATACAATATGATTATGCTACTGTCAGTAATAAAACCAGAACTCCCAACTGAAACAAGTTATTCCAGAACAGTGCGATAGTTATGGAATATTTTTAATATTTAACTTCTGCTCATTTAAGACATTTACACAACACCATTTTCTTTTGATTATTTTTGTAGGTTTTGTGCTGTGCACTTGAATTCCTTGTTTTTTTTTGCACGCGTGTGGATTGAATGCTGACAGTTCAGTTATAGCATGATTGGCTGAAGAATGAAGCTGTAAAACTCAGGCCCAGCTTAACTTAATTTAACTCCTTACTGAACCACTGTGACATTTTCCATTTGTTTCACTAGCCTCACTGTGAAATCTACTGTACTACCTGTGTCTGTGGTATTTAGTAACAGATTTGGTGTTTGTGCACTTCCACCATATTTACAGTAACTTTGCTTTGTAAGACACAACTTTCTGTGCTTTGTACAAATCTGATTGTCTTGGCTTTTTCTTTATTCTTTTGCTTTGTTAATGCCCTCCCTTTGCAGATGCTTTGGGTATGTATAATGGAAAGTTGGCAACAAATTGCCTTAGGTGTACTTATGTCTGTGTATTTGGTTTTTAGCCGTGCTTTGTTTTCTGGCTCATCATCAGTAAGACAGTTACTTTTGAAGCATGCTCATAGTTCAATAAGTCACTCTGACATGCTGGTTTTCCATGTGACATCAATATACATTTGATCTATGGATTGTGATATTCAAGATGGTTCACTTTGTGTCTCATTGGGCGAAATATTACAGGAGTAGTGGGGGGAATGACTGGCCCTCCCGACCTACCTACACTCCGAAGAAAAGTGGAAGGCCAGTCTGAAGCCCACCGTCCAGCCCTAAAGTGTGGTTGGGCTAAACCAGCTCGTAGTGGGACTTGCAATCCACCCCCTCCCCTGGGAGTATGTACAATCCTATTGTGCCACCAGTCTATCTGATGGGTTGGCAGTACCAACAACCCCATTAGCACCAGAGCTTCATAAAAGGGGTTTCTGAGACCTCAGGCAGGCCCATGCAGTAGGCCATGTTGATCCTGCATCTAGATAAGTCCAGGAGCTTTGGACTGGGTGGTTTTTAGCAATATGGGGAGGGGCAAAGTGGAGGTGAGGGGAGAAGTATTTGGGTGGGAAGGAAACAGGATTGTTATCTTCTTTGAGGGGATACCCCCGATGAACAAAGAGCACCCTCAACGACAACACCCTCTTCATTCCTACCGTTTAACCACTTCTGAGAAAAAAATGTGTATCCCAAGTCTGCCTGACTGCACATGCGGTAGCATTTTATCATGTGTCTTGTTATGCCTTAGAGTCAGTATGTCTGTATACCTTTAAGAGACACGCTCATGAAACATCACTATATCAGCTGAAGATACACAGATCTCAAACTCCATCTTACCTCAGAACATTTGGAAACATGATATGCTTCTGGAAACCTGTTTCTCTATTGTAACCTAATAACTTAATAATTAGCCGTAACACGTCCTTTGAATCTTCAATACTATAATATGGACATCTGGTTTCTTAGATTACAGGAGGTAATACAAGCATTGCTGCATCAGGTAAATCACCTTGTTAAAGGCAAACTAACATCAACATGCGTAGCAGAACATTGGAATTAATTGAGCTTTAAACACGCTTGATTAACCCTCAATAATTTTGTTACGTATTGTGGATAAACTGCTGATTTTGGCACCAACCCACCCTCTATTATGGGGGTGAGCCCTGAGGTGAGTGGGATAATAATGCTTAGATACCTGGCCTGTATTAAAGGCCTCTCCTCTCCAAAATCATGGGGCATATAATATCCACACTATTATGTCGGTACTTCAGTAATTCAAAGAAGTCACCAACCCTTTGTAGGGTTTAGGAATCGGCAATTGATATGGCCTTGTAGTTTTGCTTTTATCTTAAAAACAAAGTATTCATGTTTGAAAGCGTTTTTTTTTGTTTTCACCAGCAATGTATAATGGGGTAGATTTTCCGAACCATCACCTGACTTGCCCCAAGTGCAATGGGTAGGCAGGGCACTGACAATTTTGTTTCACATTTCTTGCAGGCCACATTCTTTGCCATGGGCAAGGATATGTAAAATAGAAAAGTAGCAACAAGAGTTTACTGAATTATTTACGACTATTAGTTGAACTGCATCATTTTGAATTGCATTTTCCCCCGCTGCATCATAGGAAAAGGCAGCGGAGACCATAAAATAGATTTATCCCTCAACATTAATTCCACTTCTTTAATCGTAACAGTCATCTATTAATGCTGCTGTGTGAATGTAGTAAATGAACACAAAAAAATTCATCTGATAGTAATTTTCTGGTATTTTATCAGAAGTAGTAAGCTAACGTCTTAAATAAGCTAATGTCTTTGAGAATACAAGAATATTTCAGGTCATGGACTTGCGTTTGTATTCCACACTATAATTTCAGAGTTTTACATGTTGAAAGTGTCCACAGTCAGCACTATTAGTACCCAGTGGTATGACTAATGTCGATTTATTAAAAATACAACTGCCATTGATTTTGATTGTGGGAGATGGTACTGTTATTGGCTGTTTCTCAGAGGCCTAGTAGCCATTCATAGAAGTTGCAGGGATGATAGCATGGAGTGAATAATGTTGTAGGTCATTTGCAATTTCCTGGCATTGCTTTGCCATAATGAAAGTGCACACTGTAGGTACAGTATTACTGTGTTACAGAAGTTCTGAACATTCTTACAAGAACATTCACTGTCAGGGTTACAATGAATAAAATTATACATGAATAATAGATTGATGCATTATCTAACCCCACGTTATTTTAAACCCTCTACGTTTTTTAGTAAATTGGTAAATGATTAAGTTGTGAACAAAGATATACAAAATTGCAGCAACTTTTAATTGTGGTTTTTTCCACTTTGCAGCAATACAAATTTTGAATGCCTGTTGTTACATTTTCCCCTTGTCATCTAAACACCTTGATTGGGGTTGTTATTGATCCTAAAGGTAGACTGCTGTTGAAAAGAGGCCTTTTCTTCACCCCACATTCTCCAACGTTATCAATCAGCCAACTTACCTCACAATCAGAACTTTTTTTTTCTGCTTGTAACTTATGTGAAAAAGCAACAAGTGAGCACACTTGCCTTTTGCAATTGAACTCAAACTTAAAAGTCAACAGTGGTATTGATTCAATGCACAGGTTTATTCCTCAGCAACAAAGAACACAAAAGGTAGCAGCAGATTATCTCTTACAATGAGGCATTCTCTGCTGTTAGACAGAACTAACTGATGCTCAAGAGGAGATTTTATAACTTTAAGGGACCCCAGATTGTTTAGAATATAGACAGTGGATTTTCAAAAGGCAACACCCAGATAGAATCATAGAAAAAGGCCCTTCGGCCCAAAGAGTCTACCTAATTATTCTAACAACTACCTAATTATTCTAATCCCATTTTCCGTACTTGATCCATAGCCTTGTATGCCATGGCATCACAAGTGCACATCTAAATACTACTAAAATGTTATGAGGGTTTCTGCCTCTACCTCAGACAATAAGTTCCAGGTCCCCACTGCCCTTTGAGTGAAAAAGCTTTTCCTCACATCTCCTTTAAATCTTCTGCCTTGATCTTAAATCTATGTCCCCTGTGGTCAGACAAATTCAGTGTGGTTTTGTAATAAAGGGATTAGGTTTAACTAATTTTTAGAAGTGTTTTGAAGAAGCAACAAGCAAGTTGGTACAGATACATTGTTGTGATGTACTTAGATTTCCAAAATATGTTTAGGAAGGTGCCACATCAAAGATAAGATCTTACATTGTAGTATTGTTAAAGAATTATTTAGCTAACAGGAAGCAGAGAGCAGCAACAGATTAGTATTTCCCAGGTTGGCAGATTGTAACTAGTGGAGTGATACAAGTGCTGGGCGTCTCAGCTATTTACAGTGTATACCAATGACTTGGATAAAGGAGCCTTCATCTGTGGTTGCTAAATTTGTCAAACACCAAGATTAGGACAAAGGTAAGGTGTCATGAGCAGGTGGAGAATCTGCAAAAGATATGGATGGGTTAAGTGAGTGGGCAAATTTTGGTGAATTAAGAATAATGTGGGAGAATGTGAACTTGTCCACTTTGGCAAGAATCACAGAAAGGTTAGTATGCAAGCACAGCATGTAAAAGTTAGGATGCAGGAATACCACCATATCCAATTTCTCCTCCAGGCCACTCACCATCCTGACTTATGGAGTCATAGAGTCATGCAGCACAGAAAACAGACCCTTCAGTCCAACCCGTCCACACTGACCAGACATCCCAATGTGACCTAGTCCTATTTGCCAGCATTTGGCCCATATTCCTCTTAAACCCTTCCTATTTATACATCCACCCAGACTCCATTTAAATATTGTAATTCCATTCCTTCAGTGTTGTTGAGTCAAAATCCTGGAATTCCCTCCATAAGGGCATTTTGACTCTATCTATAGCACATGGACTGTAGTGGCTCAAAATGGCAGCTCACCAGCACCTTCTCAAGGGGTAACTCGGGAGGGCAATAAATGCTGGCCAGCCAGCGACGTCTGTATCCCACGAGGGAATAGATAATGGAGAGGCTTTTTCCTCTTATGGAAGAATCTGTGGGAGGGGTCACTGTTTAACATTCATGGGTCACACATTTAAAACCAAGATGAGGTGATTTTTTTTTGGAGGGTATAAGTCTTTGGAACTCTCTTCCATAAAAGATGATGAAAGTAGGGTCCTTGACAATTTTCAAAGTAGAGCTAGATTGTTTATAATTGTGTTAAAAACAACGCAAAGAAAGTTTACTAGATTCATTCGTGGGATGACAAACTGATCTTACAGAGAAATATTGACTAGGTTGGGCTTATAACCACTGAAGTATAGAATAATGTGAGATGATCT